TCTTCTTCTTCTTCCTCCTTCCTTTCTTCTTCTTCTTCTTTCTGCTCAACAATTGTTTTTGCCCACAAATAATTTCGGCTAATATGAGGCTGCATAGAGTTACACAGCCAAGTCATGACCAAATAGTTCTCTTGAACCCATTTGGCATATGAAGGGTCTTCCTTGGCTGGTGTTTTTACATCTCCACTCACATAGCCTAACTTCCCTCTACCCCCAATCGCCATCATGGCTGAATGAGCCCATTCCAAGTAGTTAGAACCATCAAATTTAATAATAGTGATCTGAAAATTGTTTTCCCCCATGATTCCAGCCCCCAAAAAACATTCCCCTTGAGTCTTAAACTCAGCTCCTGCCATTTCTGTAATAGGTTTTTCAAGAGAAACCAGTTCTCAGTAAAGGGATTCAACAAAAACAGGTTTGGAGGCTGTAAACGAGTCTAGAATTCACTTAGAAAACAATTTTAATGATAAAACAGATTGAGGAACCAGCCAAAAAAAAAGATAAAGATCAGGTCTGATCATAGGGTTAAGGACACTTGGAGAAACCTTGTGAGAACAACAGCAATTCTCAGACGCACCCTCCAAAAAAGATTCACAGTAAGGTTTTTCTCAGCCGCCCTCCAAAAAAGGTTCAAGATCAGATTTTTTTCAGCCGCACCCTCTAAATAAGGCTCGCAGTCAAAAACTAGTTGTAGGGTTACGAATAAACCCTAGAAAAAACTCTGAGAAAATAAAAGAAACTCTGCCGCCCCTTCTAGATAAGCCCAACTTATCTCTTACTGCTACTGACCTCAAGAAGGGATGAAAACTTACCCAGAAAACTCTGATTGCCACCTTCAATCTTGATCAAAAGCTAATCTCGATCCCTTTATCCTTCTCTGATTCTTTCTGATTAACAAAAAACACTCTACAATCTTCGGACAGCTGCTAAAAATTTCTGGTAACTTCCAAGAATCAGCCGAAAGAAAGGTTCTTTCTAAACTTCCAGCCCTAGCCAATTCTCATGTGGTCGGCTGGATTAGACTCACATGAGAAGCCCTAGATTGTGCTCAGATACCTAGTAGACAAATCTGGACTGTAATCAGTCCAATTCTTGATGCAGATTAAAAAGAAAAAACTGGCGAAGAGAAGAAGAAGAGGGAGGAAGAAAGAAGAGAGAAGGGAAAGATGAGAGAAAGGAGTGATGGGCTATATCTGCCGCCCCACTCATCTATTTATAATAATATTAAAAAGATAACAATTACATTAAAGCCCCAACTGCTTACATAGGCAAATAACTAATAAACTAACATTGCTAACAGCAGCCTAACAACAAATATAAAAAGGACTAACTAACAGCAGCAGTGGGGACCACAATAAATAAAAAACAGCAGTAGTCATTGCTCTACATCTCTACAGATATAAATGGTTTTCACACCAAAAACTTAAGGTCACTACCTAATGCTGGACCTGCTTCTGAGGACCTTGGGAAGGGTGGACTAGATATAGGCCTAACATTTGACATTTTCTTGAACGAAGGGACCACTCTCAGACTCAACCCACATCATCTTGATTCTTGAGATTTACCATTGCACCAAGCAACATCCTTGCCAGGCCAAAAATTTAATCATCGCATATCCTTTGCTCTGGATCTTTCCAATTTATTAATTAGGAACTCTTGCACCTGGTGTCCAATTTTATGAACATGTATTATAATTTCCCTATTTTGTCACAATCTATTTTTCCTTGTAAAAGATAAAATTAATTATCTTTAGTAATTAACTGATCTTGTGGATACTATTTAATTTCCTATTTACTGTTATAAATATTGACAAACTTCTAGATTCTCATACAGATAGCTTTTCAGTGTTTTCCTCGCTTTGCATTTTCACCAATAAAAACAAATTATTTGCATACCTGATAACTTTAATATTTTATTAAACTATACATAAAGCCTGAATTCATCAACATAAATGCACCATATAACTTCCAGGCAACTTCCACCCATTCTCAGGACAAACTGTGAGCTTCAGTTAACGCATATGCTCATTTACCTCTGGATGATGAGAGTGGAAACCTGTGTAACCAATATCATGGTTCCCAGAAATGTAATATGCTGGGACATTTAAATTTCTCCTATGACGGTTCAGATTGAAGATGTGTTTGAAGCGACTCAATGATTCCTGCCACCTGTTAATGCAAACATTGGATGGTAAATAACTGAAAAAATAAGTGAGAAAAAGGAGCATCACGATGCTGAGGATGCATAACTTATTGTCCAACATTACATTGATAAAAAATACTTGCACCTACATGGAACAACAAGAAAAAACTGTCCTTCCAATATCATCTAAAGGGTCCCACCCATGTTAAAAAGTGTCTCTTGGTTGTTGTGTTTGTGAGCTTTCTCTGAGGTTAATTAGCAAGGAATTTAAATTTGTCATGTAGACATGGATATATTGGGGTTAGAGCATTTGTTATTATGAGATATGTTAAAAGAAGACCAAAATTTGAGTTGGTCTTTCTTAGTATCTCACAGTTCCTGCATAACAATTGTGATTATTTTTTGGTAATAAATAAAAGAGAAAAAATTAATAAAGAAAAAAGAGAGTACTAATTTGTTTCAATCAGCATTGACTTAACATTAATTAGAGGGAAAATTTAAGAATTAATGCTAGTATCCATTGCTAGCAAGAAAACTTTCCTACGTAAAGGAATGTACTAATTTGTTTCAGCAGTGAATGAATTGAGTCTTTGAGCATCATGTGCCTTGGTGGTGTGATTCCAAAGACTCTTAAATTCAAGGTTGTGTGATTCAGCTCGCCATTCTCATTCTCAGCATCATATCCTTCACTTTTTTTGTTTTTATTTTTATTTTTATTTTTTATCAAGAGTAAGAGAATTTTATTAGAGAAATGAAAAAAAGCAGTAGAAGGCTCAAAGGGAGGTGTGAGATGCACCCTCCCAAACTAAAAAAGCAAATTACAAAGAAGCCCAAAACAATTGATCCCTATTATCCCCTTGTTTGGCTAGGGTGTCAGCCAAACCATTAGTTGATCTTCTCTCCCACTAAACTTTTAGAGTCATGTTACTGCTAAGGCAATTAAACTTCTTCAAATCCTCCCTCAAGGTCCAAAGAGCTATCTCCAGGTTCTTCAACCAACCTATAACCAACTTGGAGTCCCCTTCAACCAATGGCTTGTTGAAACTTAATTGTCTTGCTACCTGTAAACCTTGAATATCCACGCAAGAAGCTCAGCTCAAGCTGAATCTCCCACACCAACTGGACCAGAGAAAAAGTGCAACAACCCCTCCCTCTTTATTCCTAAATACACCTCCAATTTCTAAACGCCTTGGGTTGCCAAAACTGTTACCATCAAAGTTAAGTTTAATAAAATCTTCTTCTGGTTGGATCCAAGAAGAAATAAGCTTATCCTTCCTTTGAAGAACTTTTTGCCACTAAACCCCACTTCCTCCAAATATCATCAAAGGAGAAATGTTAGAACAAGCCCAAGGTTTTTACCCAATATATCACCCTGGTAGCTATATAATCTACCACCTCTTCCACACTTTTGTTCATGAAAAATTCTAGTATTTCTTTCCTCCCAGATCAACCAAATCAAAGTAGCCCTTGTGCATCTCTATAAGATTGCACTCCTTTTATTTGGCCATATAAAAGTGGAAAGGTCAAAGAGGGCACGTAACTCCATGGTAAAGTCCACCTGCACTCAGAAAAGAATCTTTCCCAGTAAGAAATTATGTTTCAGCTGGTCTATAACCTGGGATATACTACTAGGTAACCTGAAACTTTGCATAGCATGAATTAATAAGCTCTGGACCACACTATTAATCAAAGTGTGCCTTCCCGCTAGAGAAAAAGTTCCACTCTTCCAAGTGGCTAGCTTGGCATGAACCCGATCTATAACAGGAACTAACATAGCTCTAGTTACACAACCAGTAAACCCAAGTATTTATCCAGCTTTGAGAATATAGGAACTGTAGAGATTGGTTCATGTTTCTTACATCTTTCCTTTTCTGGCTCTTGGGACCACTCTTTTATGTTGTAACTTATGTACACTATCTTTTGTTTTATTCTTTCTTGTAAGATAAGGGCATAATTGTCCTTTCCATAACATTATATTCTTTCTTATATAAGTCAATCAATTCTGGGCGTATGATGGAAGAGACAACACACCCTTTCATTCTCAGCTTTTCTTCTCTGATTTGAACTAAGTTGACATGGCATCAGAGCAGGTTTTTCAACCTGTCCTTGATTGAAATCTGTTTAGGCCTGTGAGATTGACCCATCTACTTCAGTTTTGGATCTCGTAGGTTGCTGTACTGATTTGCACATCTCTGCTGTTCTTTCTCTGGAAGATCACCATCAGAAATAGGGTTTCTTCTTTTTCTCACAACTGGCTACTCCAAACACTGTGAAACTTCAGATCTAAAGTCGCTCAGGTCAGATCTATATAGATATTTAATTTAGTTCTGGTTTGGATTCCTTTTGAAGGGTGTTTTGCCCTTCTTCTTGTTCAACAGTCCACAAAACTCACCTTTTTTTGGACTGTTATCAGTTAGAAAATTCTGTGTGGCTGGTTTCTTTATCAGATTTTGATTCCTCCTTGTGGTGTGTGATTAGACACACATTCCATCGAGTTTTGGATTCATTTGGACCTTCGGCTTCTCTCTTTCTTAGTTTTCTTTGCTTACTCATTGCTGAAATGGCCATGGAGAAAAGGGATATTTTACCAGTAAAGTTCAATGGGACAAACTATGCCTTCTGGAAATTCCATTTCCAGTTCTATGTTAAGGGAAATAGCCTATGGGGATTTGTGGATGGTTCCACAAAACAACCTGATGAATCTGATTGCAAAGGGCTGAAATAGTGGAAGATCGGCAATGCCAAAGTAGTGTCTTGGCTTCTTGGCTCCGTTGAAACTGAGATTGCTATTCCAATGAGAAGTTATCGAACTGCTAGTGAGATGTCACCTATATGGAAAAGGTGTACCAACAGTCCAACATCTCTCGTCAGTATCAGATTGAGACAGAGATATTTTCTTATAGTCAGGGTGAGAAGAAAATACAGGAGTTCTATGCTCGCTTTGTGAATTTGTGGACAAAATATGAATTAGTTCACATGGGTGAAAGCACATCTTCTTACTGCATCAAAAATCTAAAAGAACACTTTGATAGGAGGAAAATCATGCATTTTCTGATGCACCTGAGACCTGAATATGAAATTGTAAGGTCCAACATTCTCAGTAGGGGCACTCCTTCCACACTTGACACAGTTTTGAGGGAGCTTCTCAGGGAGGAAACTAAACTCATTACTCAATCGACCTTGAGGCCAAAATCTGATTCTGGAACAGAGATAGCCTTTCTGATGAACAAATCCAAGCTCAAGGACTTGTCCCGTGTACAGAGCTATGAATGCAAGGAATATGGACATGTTGTCTCACACTGTCGGAAGAAAAATTTTTGTACCTACTGCAAACAACATGGACATATTATTCCTGAATGTCCTACGCAGCCAGCAAAGGGAAATGGTTCAAGTTCTAAGAAGAGTAAATATAAGGCTTTTCAGACAACAACTGAAGGTGCAGATACAGGGAGTACAGCTTCAGTAGGAATGGATGAAAATTCCGGGACTCTTACAGAAGAAAGAATGTGTCAGCTAGTATCCTCAGCTATTTCCTCTGCATTTTCAACCATCGGTCTTTCAGGTGAGGAATCCTATTATTGTTCCTCTCCTAGTCACTTATGGATCATTGATTCTGGGGCCTCTAACCATATTACAATGGCACACACTAGTCAGTCCGTTAAACCCAAATCCTTGAATAAACATATTATTATTGCTAATGGAGAGAAATTGGATATTGTTGGTTGCAATGATTTGTCATTGACTACTATTTCTAGCAAGGAGACGAAAGATATGAGATTTTAACTGTTTTGGTGGCGCCAATTCTTTCATTTAAATAGTAGCGCGACTAACATAATAAAAGAAAGAAAAGGACAAGAATGCCCCTCTATGGCATATAATACAGATTACATCACTCCCCCTCAAGTTGGGGCATAAATGTCAATTATCCCCAACTTGTCACAAAGATCATAATGCCATAGTAAGCATAATCCTTTAGTAAGTACATCTGCAAGTTATTCATCAAAACTAATGTAGGGAGTGCACATTTGCCCCTTCTCAATTTTCTCTCTGATGAAATGCTTGTCAACCTCAATATGCTTGGTTCTATCATGGAGAACTGGGTTGGCTGCAATGTTGATGGCAGCTTTATTGTCACAGTAAAGTGACATAGGATCATCAAAAGGAAATCCTAATTCACTCAATAGGTTCTTGATCTACAGTAACTTTGCAACTCCATGTGACATAGCCTTATATTATGCCTTTGCACTTGACCTGGCCACCACACTTTGTTTTTTGCTTCTACAAGACACAAGGTTTCCACCAACAAAGGCACAATATCCACTGGTGGATTTTCTGCCATCCACTAATCCGGCCGAACCTGCATCAGTGTACACCTCTACTCTCATGTGCCCATGTTTCTTAAAGAGTAAACCTGTCCCTGGGAACTTCTTCAAGTACCTAAGAACTTTGTCTGCTGCCTCTAGCCTTCTTGGGAGCATGCATGAACTGATTGAGGATACTCACAACATATGCAATGTTAGGCCTGGTCATGGATAAGTAGAGAAGCTTGCCCACAAGTCTTTGGTATTGCCTTGGATCTTTCAAGGGCTCACCACTGCAATCCCCAAGTTTATGATTTACATCTATAGGTGTGTTAGCAGGTTTATCTCCTAGCTTCCATGTATCCTAGGAGATCTAGGGTATACTTCCTTTGGGAAATGAAGATGCCTTGTTGAGAGTGAGCAACTTCAATACCAAGGAAGTAGCACAAATGCCCCAGATCCTTTACTTCAAACTGTGTAGCAAGGAATTTCTTTAATCTCTAAATCTCTGAGATCTAGTCTCCAATGATGGCAATATCATCTACATACACAATCAAGGTTGTTGTTTTTCCTTGTTCCCTCTTTACAAAAAGTGTGTGATCAAATTGGCACTGCTTAAAGCCCATCTGTTGAACTGCCTGGTGAAACCTGCTAAACAAAGCTCTTGGAGATTGCTTTAGACCATACAAAAATATCTTCAATTTGCAAACCTTTTGCTCACTTCC